TGAAAATCACCACCACCCCGCCCATTGACATACCTACGCAATATTCTTAACTCTTAATCCAATAAAACACAAACAATAATATAATTTTTCTATCCATTTGCCCCTCTATTTTAATCACCTACACCACATTTATTTCTTCCTATCTCAAACATAAGTAAAAATCAGTTAAAATAACTTCATTGAGGGATTACACATATTCTTCTCCTGAAGCAGTATTGAGCAATGAATTTTCAAACGACAAATGAATAATGACGTGAAAGACTTGTAGAGTGCTGTTGCAGCAGCTCAGGTAGGGGAGGAAGAAAAAGGCTGCAGTGAAGGATTAAGCTGAATAGGAAAACGACTGTAGAGAAGAGAGTGATTACATGCACAAGTACATTTACATTTTTTGGAAAATGTGGTGATAAGAATTTAAGTGTATGTATGTAGTAACTCAATAAGAGTCCAAAAAAAAACTTAGCCACGTGAACGGATTTTGCGGTATGTGCTAGTGTTACAGAAAAAATAAATCAACATTTTTGTTTCTAGTATAACTTTGTTACTCAATTGGAAAAATAATAGACCAAGCTAGTTTCATATTTTACCTATTTATTTACCTATGTGATTACTTTGCGTGTGTATCTAGTTTTTGTTGCCATAGAAAGTAGAAAATGGTGAACACAACTTTTTCTAGTGAGACATTGTTGTTTATTTGTATTGAGGGGTAACAGGAATATTCATTTACCATCATCGTTTGCTGTTTTTTAGATTTGATGGGAGATTCTTCTAGCTTCTCTTCGTACCATGATGCTAAATTCTTTTATTTTTCTTTGTACTCAAAGCTTTGTGTAATCGTATGAAATCATCATTTCAATGCTATATGTGTATAGTATTGTTTGTTTATTGGTTTTTGCCTAGTGCATATAAGAATCTTTTTCTTTTGTTTTCTTCAATTCGTTATGATTGATGCATCATGCATGCATCAGCAATGGATTAGGAGCATCGTGTCTATATTTTGTTTGTGTTTTCACTTAAAAATAAATTATATTAGTCGAATTCGACAAAACAGACGAGTAATAGATAGACAAGTCAATACAATGATAAATTAAATAAGTAAGAACACAATGAAATGTAAATAAACTAAATCTTTCTTAAGTTTAATAATAATGAAATTTATCATAATCGTCAAGATTTTAAACTGCCGAATAGAACAATTTAATGTTTAAAGCATGTTTCATATGAAAAGTGTCATTGGAAAAAGAGAGTGGAATATGTTGTAAAATAGAATACCGGAGTTGACTGTGGAGTGCCACAATTAAGGATGGTAATACATGCTTAGTCAATCGAACATGTCAGTTTTGTTCGATTTTTTTTTTTCAATTTAGATTGATAAAGATATTGTGACACTGATTACTTTTACCGCAGTGTGAATTAATCATAAATTTTATTATTGTAAAAACGGTGAATAATAATATCAATATCAACACTTATTAATATGATTTTGTCGCACCCTTTTCAAACCGATAATTAAAACTTGGTGTAGGTCAAGGTTTTTATAGCCAAGCTGATGCTTATGTAAACGCTATTGGCAGACATACACACACGGATAACATTGTTCACACACAAAAAGTAATTAACTTGGTTCCATAAGTCAAAACCTTGATATTTGTCCAATTCCATGAGTATTTGAAAAACCCAATTGCACATAATAAATGAAACACTAAACAAATCCCATCTTCATAGAACTTCAACCTCCGTTGTCTTTACGGCAATCACCCACCACCAACAACAAGAAGTAAATTAAATTAAATAAAAAATAAAAAAATTGATGCATAAGACATTCTCTAAAATCCATATATACTATTACCTTTTTTATGCATCTTTTTAATATGATACTATTTTTGTATGTAGCTATCATCATTTATATTGTTCAATTAACTATGCCAAAGTCAACATTTACAGTATATTGAAATGAGATTGCAGAAGCAAAAGAGGCATAAAAAAGATCAAAAATACAGTAATTAAAAGCATATACTAACTGAAAAATACAGTGCATTTTGTGGGAATAATAAACTAAAGAGGTTATTTAACCCGCTTAAGTTGAGATTTCCAAAGATAAAGTTGTAAGCTTTACCTTTTTACTTAAATTAATACTATTAAAAATGGAATTTAGTGTGACATTTGTTTCGTTTGTCCTCATTCAAATATCCCAAAGATTCTGCTCTCTCTTTTTCTACAAATAAACTAATATTTGAACTTATAGTACTAAAAAACTATTTAAAGTCTTAGCTTAAGTATAATTTTAATACAATATTAATTAGTTGAGCTAACATGTGAGACTATTATATATTAATTCATGGCTTTTAATAGTTCTTTTGATCAATGTAAGTTAACATATTTTTTTAGAAATAATTTCTTAATGTTAAAATCTTTTTTATTTTAGTTTTTAAAATTAAAATTTGTAAGAAAATTCGAAGAAAAATTTGTAGAAATACTACAAATTTTCCTTAAAATTTTAATTTTATAGCATAAAATCAAAAATATTTTAATTTAGATATCATTTAAAATAAATAGAAAACAAAAGTAAAAAACATAGCAGCAACTAAAGAAAACTATTTAAACATTAATTAATTAATTCATTCATTCATATTCATATCATACATATGCTATGATTTTCTACTAGGTTGAAATTAAATTTCTTCCACTCACGTGGCCAAAAGTGATTTTCTATTGTTCTCATCCACACCTACCTATACTAAGAAAAAATCTTTAGATCACTTTCTCTGATTTCAAAATTTGAAACACAACTTTTCTCCCTCCCTATTACACTTGTGAACATAATGACCAATTCATATTGCACAGCACACAGCCACACACAACACCATCATGATTAAATCATTAAAATTCAAAGTGCATGCAGATTTCTATTATTTGCCTTTAAAACTTTACTCTCTCTTTAAACACTAGTTTACCCTATATTTAAAATATTGGTAACAGTGATTTTGCTAAAATAATAGAAGTGACTATGAAATTTTGACCAAAATGTGTTTGGTAGGACCTAGCTGTCTTCTTTTATGAACTGAAATAGACAGAACTTATGTGGTTTTTCTCATTATCTTTCAGAGAATTATGGAATATATAAGGATCCATTCTCGGACAGAAGGATACTACAAGACTCATAAATGATGTGCTTCCCCAGTCCCCACCTCTGGTAAAACTACTACAGATAGCAACCAGAAAAAAATAATCAGAAAATTTTAAAATTAATGAGTGATTATATATTTAAGATATATGTGTTTGTTGTATAAATCATTGTGGTAACTATTTTTGTTTTATTAATTTTTTAAAAGTATGTAATTGATTATGTTATATAATAAAAAATTAGTTTGTAGTTTGTACTACTTTTGGGAGGATACATGACTTGATGGTATGACTAGACTTTCAAATGTTATTTTTGTTATTATCTTGAATTAAGTATTGATTATTAGAAATCTAATAAAATGTAGTAGAATTACTCATATTTGAGTCATGTTTCATGTGTGAATTTTAAAAAAATTTAAAATAAAAATTTCAAAATGATGAATTTTTCTTTTATTCTTCCAAATTTTTATTATTTTTATTTTGGTTGAATTCCTTTATATTTTAAAATAATTATAACAAACTGAAAGAAACAATAATGTTTTGTAAACGAAAAAAAAAGAAAAGGATTATGGCTCTTGCTCAGATGTGCTTTTAGATGCTGTGAAATCCAAAAGTAAAAAGTTTACATATTTTTGTTAATTTTAGAATTACCAAACTCATGGCATGCGTTGCACTTTAGATAAGAGGTATTATTGTCACAGTTATTATTCGGATAATAAACCAAAGATTTTATCCAACTGATTCATAAAATGTTTATTATCCAACTGATTCATAAAAAGTTTATATTGAGAATAAGTAAAAGATTTATAATGAGAATTACAATTATTATTGAATTTTTAAGCAATTGTACGTCTTTTATTTTAAGAATTGCGTGGGACACATGTTAACAATTGTGCTGTCAAGAACTTCGTGGACTTATTATGTTTCTTGGGTTGGTTTATCCGTGTCCCACACAATTATTTTATCTATTGAATTTGATAACGTTTATGTTTAAATTATTAGTTATGATTTATATTTTATATAATTGTTTAATATTTTAAATGAGTTGATTAAAATAAAAAATCATTAAAATAAACTTTTTTTAAAGATTGTTTATAAGAAATATTAAATGTTGGTATGTATATGTTTGTTTTTATGCGAGTATTACTTGGTTCAAAGGAAAATTGATATTTGATATGATTATACATATACATTTGTGATAATAACATGTGATAATTTTAAGACTTCACATGTAAATGATGAATCAATTTGAAGAAGAAATTATTATTTAATATGTTTAATATCAATGTTTTATCGCTATAATAAGAGTATCATTAGTAATTAATATTATTATCCAAAAATTTGATATTGATGTTGCATTAGATATCTTGAAATGAGTTATGTCATACATTATCAAAAAATTGAGTTATGTCATTATTTATTTTTGAGCTAGTGGGCCAAAAAATTATGCTATTGTTATTATTTTGGTTAAGTCAACCAGTTTTGATCTACATAGTGAACTAACTAATATGATTTTGTGGTTCAGAGAGACGATCCATATAGGAAAGACTAATCTGACCAAATCTTGTTTCCACCATTATTTGAACATCCATTGATTTAGTTTATTTATGATTGATTTTAAAGCATCACGCGAGCATATTTATACTATTTTATTTTATTTTCTTTACCGTTAATATTGCTATTATATCTTGTTTTCTAACATAAATTCAGTCTCGATTCTTAATAGTGCAAACTTTAAGGACTGAAAGAACAATATTTTAATTATTCTTGACTGTATGATCCTTGACTTTACATTAAGGATGGAGCAACCCACTTCTCCTACAAACTTCACTACCTTTGAAGAACGAAAAAATTATGAGAAGTGAGATCGCTCTAATCGCATGAATATTATGATCATAAAACACGACGTTCCAGAGACATTTAGGGGCACTATATCTGAAGAAATAAAAAGTGTTAAAGATTTTCTTGATGAAATTGAAAAGCATTTTGCTAAAAACGATAAGACGAAAACAAGCACACTCCTTCAAAGCTTGATTTCTATAAAGTATATTATGGACATGTCTAACATTGCTTCCAAACTTAAGGCGCTAAAACTTGAGTTGTTGGATGACTTACTCGTGTATTTGTTGCTAATATTTTTTTCCTGTACAATTTGGTCAATTTAAGATAAGCTATAATTGTTAAAAGGAGGAGTGGTCTCTTAACGAGCTCATTTTATATAGTGTGCAAGAAGAAGAGATGATGAAGCAAGATATGACAAATAGTGTTCACTTGGCAAGTACCTTTAAAATTAAGGGAAAAAGGAGAAAGTACAAAGTGGACAGATTTCCATAATATATTTAGGGACGAATTCCATTATAGAGGATCCTATGACAAAGGGGCTCTCACCCAAGATCTTTCACGAGCACACTAATCACATGAGAGTTATACAATTAGAGGATTCTTTAGTTTAGTGAGAATTAGTCGTTGTTATTACTTATGTTATATGTTTAATAGTATATATGCATACTCATATATTTGTATTAGGTTTTGATCAGAAATAAATGTTGGTTATTCAGTTCATTGCATTTTGTATGGTAATATTTATATCTTTAAAGTAAGGAAGTCCTGTTAAAAATTAACATGTATTGATCACCTTCATATGATTTTCATGTTGTACATTTCATGATTAATCTATGTCAGTTTGTTTATATTTGCGATCATTGATTAATTTAATTAAGATTGATATAATAAAAACTACTTTAGTCCTATATATTGACGTAACTAATGGATGGGATGAAGATATGTCCAATGTTTATATTAGAAATTTTTTGAGCTCATAAAGTTAACACATTTATAAGAATTCATATATGACCATCGAGAGATTGTTAGAATTTTTTAGGCATAAATGTACGAAATTAATGTGTTAGTGCCATTATATAAAAGTCTAAATTAAAGTGATCTGTTTAATATAAGATTTATGTCTAAAAATATAATTGTCACATGAAAAATATTGTGTAGATATCAAAAATTTTATTTCTATTTTGTGATGGGTAAAATTGAAATAAGAGAGAACATGGATAATCATAACCCTTCATGAAAATGCACGAGATTCTAAACTTGAATAAACACGACATTCATGAAGGTTCATGAGATTCTAAACTTAAATAAACATGACTTTTAATGAAAGGACATAAATTTTTTATAAATAAGATATTATGGTCTCTAATTGTAGAATATTTATTTTCTTTATCCCATTGAAAGAGGAACTAAGAAATTAAGAAAACTATAATTTAAAAGTCACTATCCTATCAAGATTATTATCTTCTCATTGAAATGATATGAAACCTAAAAATACAGTTTCACTTTCTATTTCATTTTAAATTCAGGTATGGATTTATAAAACATTGATTATTAAAAACTCAACGGTACAAGTCACTAGTGAAATATTTTAAGCTTTTTAATTAAGATGTGGTGTTCAAGTCACTAATATGCATGACACTTCGAAAACACCTCATGATTCAATAATAATATCAAAGTCGCATGTGTCTGCTTGCCACTTAATCAAATTTATGCTTTGATGTATGTTTAACTGCTATGTACATGGAGACACCTACCGATATGTTCATGGTAGCATCCAAAATAATTCTCATTTATTTGTATGGTATCATGAGCTAAGAAATATTGTATGAAAAATATATATGTGAGAAAAATATATATTTGGATGGTCTGACTCTTGTTATGCAAGTGATCATGATAGAAAAAACATCTATGGTCTCATGTGCAATATCTTGGCATTCAACTAAACAACCAATTGTAACTCTTTCAACCACCGAATTTGGGTTTATGAAAGTTGCATTATGTGTTAGACTAGGAAATTGGCAGAGAAGAATCATAATACTAAGAAAACAAAATAAAGCTTCGAATGAGATGAAGCACAATGAAAATTCAAGCACAAATTTCTTTGCTATCTACTATGAAAATAGTTCCAACATCAAGTAGTCCAATTGTGTGATGCATGCAAAAAACAAACATACACTACGCCAAAAATGATTTTTTGTATCACCTAATTTAATAGCACTTTTAAAAAAAATGCTATTAAAATGGAAAAAACACATTTATAATAGCACTTTTTAATCGGGCGCTATTATATAATACAGACTATGTAATTTTGATAGCACTTTGTACTAGAACGCTATTATTAAACTTCTTTAAGATAGCATTTTGTATAAAACGCTATTATTTGACTACCTATATAATAGCGTTTATTAAAAAGCGCTATTAATTAATAACACGCGGAAGATGATTACATGGCAAATCCTTATTGGTCACATTCGCGTGGACAAACATCACAAATCCAAGTCAAATTTTATTTCTATTTTTTATAAATCTATTACAATTAAGTAAACGAGTAAACAAAGTTTTTTAAAACTTCATTCACCAAACACGACGAGTTCATCGTCTCAGATCACCGGCGCCGTTGATTCTCATAACCGGAATTCCCCATTTTCAGGTTCCTTTCTCAATTTTGTTTTTTTTAGTTGTTTAATCGGAGAAGTGAAATTGATTTGCTTGTGTATTTTGAGTTTCATGCAGTTAAGGTTCTTGGTCTAGGGTTTTGAGATTTTGGATCAAGGTTTCTGGTATTTATGAACTAGTGTTTTAGATGCTAAAACTTGATTTGAATTGTTGCTTGATTTTAGGATTGATTACTCTGGTTTGAAATTAGGAATTGGGAATTAATCTAAATTGGGTTTTAATTTTGATGTTAAGTGTGTGAATTTGCATTTCAGAAAATGGCTTTAGGTGGAGGAGGTCCCCAAAGAGGAAGTGCAGCTGCTACTGCAAGCATGAGGAGAAGGAAAACAGCAGGTGGTGGAGCCTCTGGAGGAGCAGCTGGAACTATGCTTCAATTTTACACCGATGATGCTCCTGGACTCAGAATCTCTCCTAGATCAGTAAAAATATCCTCCCCACACGTGGACCAAAACTTTTGATAAAAAGCCGGATTGAAACCATGAGGACCGGGAGATTTGTCGGGATGCATTTGACTCAACGGCTCAAAAAGCTCCTCTTTCAAAATAGGAGCGGTTAGAAAATCATTATCCTCAACAGTAATGACATGATGTATTAAGTGAAACACCGGCTCGTATGTCCCTATTCTAGCTTCAAACAACTTATCGAAATATCGTTTTGCAATGCCACACATACCTTCTTGATCCCTGATTTCTTCGTCATCCTCCTTTTTAAGCATTTCAATTTTTTGAAAATTCCGCCGCATTCTGATCATTACTATCTCGAAAACCAGTAAGCTTCTCCCGAAGAGTATCTTTTTCCTCATTATTCTTGATTCTTGAAAAGTGTTTATGTTACATTCATGTAAGTTTCATTTCACTTTCTTATTTCAATCTGTTTGGAATTGTGTGTTCTTTGGTTTGAATCTGGTTATTGAAACTCAATGTCATGACATTTGTGAAAGCATTCTGATAACAGGGCTAGGTATTTTGTTTCTCATGGCAGCATTAGAACTGTTATGCTGTTTAGGATCGAATTCGGATTAAACTTGTGTTTGTTGTGTCGAAAAATGGCGCAATTCGTATCAATATCATGTTCATGTTAAATCTGAATACAAAATGGTGGTTGCATCTTTGCTTAATTTTGATTCGGCTTAGTAAAGTTGGTCGAAACATCGACACGACTATATGTAGTACTTGTGATGAGCATTGGTTTTATAGCTTTTGTTGCTTTGAGGCGTGACCATTCTAAGGCACTTTCGTGGTTCTTGAAGGCAGTGGAGAAGGGTGAGCCTCGCTCCATGGAGCTTCTCGGAGAGATATATGCCAGGGGAGCCGGTGTTGAGAGGAACTATACAAAAGCCTTTGAATGGCTTACTCTAGCATCTAAGCATCACCTCTACTCTGCTTATAATGGGATTGGTTATTTGTATGTCAAAGGCTATGGAGTCGACAGCAAAAATTACACTAAAGTATGATCATCTTTGCCTTTTTTGTGTTTGTATGGACTTCAAATTTTTGGGGAATGGAATGGGGACACACTTTATCGGTGGTATTGTGTGTCTATGTATGTCTATGCTTAATTTATGATATCTTTTTCTGAATTACAGGCAAAAGAGTATTTTGAAAAGGCTGCTGAAAATGACGAGGTTGGTGGCCATTATAACCTAGGTGTCATGTTTCTCAAGGGGATTGGAGTGAAAAGAGATGTGCGGTTGGCATGTAAATATTTTATAGTGGCTGCCAACAATGGTCAACCAAAGGCTTTCTACCAACTTGCAAAGATTTTTCATCTTGGTGTTGGCTTCAAGAAGAACGTTCCATTGGTAAGTTGATTCTTCGTTTGTCTTATTTTTAAATGCAAGTGCTGATTATAAGTTAATGATATAAATGGGAGTTTTCTGTTGCAGTCTAGATATTCAAATCAGTATATTATTTGTATTAAGACTATGTTAAGTTGGGTTTTCTGTTCTACACTTAGGGATCCACGCTTTACCCTCGAAAGAAGGGAAACTTGTCGAATATCGAGGTAGTGTTGCATCGTCATATGGATGGGGAAACCACTGAATATGAAGAATTAAGAGCTGAAAACGGTGTTTTTTCGTTCTATTATTTATAGAGAATTCTAATTATAGATTCTTATCAGAAGTTCCTAAGTGGTTTATTTTATTCTAAAACTTTGTTATAGTCTCTCAAGGAGAGTTGAGGCTCAAGAGAGTTTGTCGGTAGCCATAGAGGTATATGCAGATTGTTGGCAACTTCAGTTCTCTCTGGTTTTTATGCTTATATTACTTGTATTAATTCAAAATGTTCATCCCTTCGCTGCTATTTATTGTCATTGCAGGCTCACAATAAGGAAGATATTGAAAAATTCAGTAAACGGACAGTGAAGGTTGGTCGTTGTTTCTTAGACATGTTTATTTTAGGACCTTTAATTTTTTTCTTCCGTATGATAGATTGAAGCAAGGTTTTGGTATTATATTGTTAAGGATATATTTCTATATTGTAGGTGACTAAAGAAAATAATCAAGCATGCAAAAAACTTTTAAAACTCATGGGAGTGCCCGTTGTTGAGGTAACATATTGCAATACTTCAATGAAATAATATATTGTACTATGTGTTAACCATTTGGCTAAGGCTTCAAATTCTCCAGGCACCCTCAGAAGCAGAGGCTCAGTGTGGTGCTCTTTGCAAAGTTGGAAAAGCAACTTCACATCTGCTGTTTGTCTCCTTCTTGAAATCTAAAATATGATAAAATTATCTAAGTTATAATCTTTTTCAAGCAGACTTCATGGAAACGAATAGAAAATTAAATGTTACTATATATTCTTACATCTTTTTATAAAACCATTTAAATTTCAAATATATTGTTTCTTTAATATTTTTTGCATTTGATAATTCTATATTTTTTAGTGTTGTTCTTAACAAGTATGGAACCAGGATTCACAATTTCATTCTCATTTATTGCTTTTGTTTTTTTTATGTCTACCATCAATTTAAAGCCTCTACCGGAGAGGATAGAAATGGTTTGTGTTAGCGTCGGTGATGTGAAGAAGTTGTTGAAAGTGATGCAGATGGAATCGATGAAAGCGAGGTTGAGAGGTTCTTGTGATCTTATATTCTCTTTCTTTCTTTCTTTTAAGTACCTCCCTGTGGCATCAGCTTTCATAACTGATAGTTTCACAATAACTTCCGTCAATCTTCATCAAGGTATTTAACTTTGTTTTTCTTCCATCTGAATTAAATTTCCTTGTCGTTGTATTCACCTGCAGGTCATTATTTTGATGGAGGGGGTTTTATGTCAGCTTCACCTTTTTCTGCTGCTGTTAATGCTTCATCTGTTGGGTTTACAAATAGTTCTGGGGGCAATGGTGGAGTGCTTCCTGCACGGACGGATCCTTGTATGGCTCGCTCAGTTAGTGTACATGGCTGCTCTCAGATGCAGGGCCAGTCGTCAGTTCCTGCCCGAGGTTGTTATGCTATACTACTATATATTATATCCCTTGATCGAATTTTACCTTATCTAGTTCTGAGTTTTAATTTCAATGTATTCTTTAGTTTAGTTATGCTTGAGCTTGAGAAATGTCTTTGTCTGTGTATATGTAATCCTTGAGATCACATGTTTCAGTTAAATAAGTTCATATATTATATCCCTTGATCGAATTTTACCTTATCTAGTTTTGAGTTGTGATTTTGATGTAGTTTGTTAGTTAAGCTATGCTTGAGCTTGAGAAATGTCTTTGTCTGTGTGCAATCAATACTAGGGTAGTAAGATCACATGTTTCATCTAAATGAGTTCATCAACCTTCTTTTCTGAACTCTTCATACTTTGTCATTCTTCTTTAACTACTGCTGCACAGTGTTGTGGATGTAACTCTTGGTTTTTTAAGATGACCCAAATGATGATTACATTGATGGTTTAGAATTTGAATATGCTGTGATAAAAAAACAACACTGTTACTGCATTCAGTAAAGCAGAGTCTTATGTTGGAAATCGGACAGCTCACATTCTGAGCTTGTGCTTCGAATCTGATTTGATGAAGTCAGAATGTGAGTATTGGATCTATGGTAAGCATTTAGATTTGCTGACTGCGTTGGTTATTGACTGCAGTAAATCCGTGTCTTTAAAATATTGTGCATAATGATATTATAACTACTTAGATGACATATCATACTAGTATTGTGTCATTTTGAAACAAAACTTTTATGCACATGATATAACCTTCTTTTTTTTTCCTTTTCACATTGTTTCCAATTTACAGAGGAAAAGTTCGATAGTTTCAAGGATGCAGGCACCAATGTATCTCCTGCTGTTTCAAGGAGGGACATGGCTACCCAGATGAGCCCAGAGGGAAGTTCATGCTCCCAATAGGAGGACTTCTTTCTCTGCTTCCACACCCCCTGCCATGCCTGTCACTGAGTTGCAGAGTGCCTCTCTCTCTAAAATGGATATCAGGGATGTGCAGGTAGATGAACGTGTAACAATGACAAGGTGGTCCAAGAAACACAGGGCTTTATTTTGTTTAGAGAATTTGATTGTATGTTTTTGGATTTGGATTGAAGTACTCATAGATGGGCATCTACAAATTTGGCTATGCAAACGCCCTCTTAATATTCTATATGTTATGATATTTGGAAACAATAGGATTTGGTAATTTAAAATGTTATTTGGTATTTGATGGATCATAATATATATGCAATGAGTAACTTAAAGCGTTATTTGTGTTGAATTGAATATAGTTATTTTATATTTACACCAAAAAAAATGATTGTGTAAGAAAAAATATTGTACTGTACTTATTAAAAATATTGTACCAAATATGTACCATTTATTAGCACTTTATTTGAAAGCGCTATCAAACATATGTTATATATTAGCGCTTTTTGTTTAGAGTGCTATAAAAAAACAAACAAAAAACATGCAAAATACTGACTTTGATAGCACTTTAATTAAAACGCTATTATAAATTGGTACTTTAATAGCGCTTTTAAAGTGCTATTAAATAAGAAATATTTACAATAGTGGCGCGGTTAATAGCACTTTTAAGTGCTATCAAAAACAAAAAAAAGCGCTATTAAATAGCTTATTTGGCGTAGTGATATTGATAAATATTTCATTTTTTGAGAGATCTTACTAAGGATATAGATGTCAAATTGGTTCAATGCTCCACACAAGATCGACTAGTTGGTATTATGACTATGCCCTTGAAGATATATACACATCTTTTTCTTTACGATGATCATGAAAATCTAAATAATGTTTTTAAATTCAAAATAGCTCTTTTATGGTATCTAACAAGCTTCAAAAGAGCTTGGTAGGAGCGTCTCAGAGCACTACAAGAAAAAATCTCTCCTACAACGTATTTCGTGATTATTATGTGACAACAAATTGTCAATTACAACGTGATAATTGTTAAATTATAATTCATAGTGTCAAAACTATGGTGAGTCAAAGAGCACACAAATTAGATTTGTTTTAGAT